TAATGTATCTAAAAAGTTGTATGAAAATAAAAGCTGAGCATTGAGGATTAATTTAGTCAAGCCATATGGGAATTTTAAACTAAGTACAAATGAGAATTTAACAGTGATATTAAACACAGTTCAAGTTAGAACAAAACCAAAAGAAATACTCTTAAGTAGCGATATTACAATAAAATCTAAATAAACTTGGAAGAAGCTTTTAAAAGCTTTACCATACAGACAGAGTGAGATGCATACCCCAGAGAACCAAATAAGTAAAGAAAACCCACCAAATGAAAAAAAAAAAAAAAAAAAGAAGAAAAAAAGTGGAAGGGCTGCTTTCCCTTTTCATTTCCCTCTGAATTAAGATATGACTGATATTACAGCAGAAGTTAGAAGTATTGCAGGGTGTCAGCTGCACTGAGTGCCTGGGTGTGTGCTTCCAGCCTGCCATAGCCCCGAGACAGAGAAAAAGATGTCTTTAGCTTTGTTAAAGGTGTTCCAAACCCACTTGTTCCACTCCTATCTCATTTTGGTTTATCCTGAGATTTGTTTTCTGAAAAACGCTGGTCCTTATTTCAGTCAAAGCCCGCGGATGTGTGGCTGAGCTGTGGATAAGCCGGGAGAGCAGAGGGAGCTGTGTGGTTCAATGCAGTAATCGAAGCCCTGGTGGAAAAGGGTTGTGCAAAGGCAGTGGAGGGCAGGCTGGCGTGAAAGCTGAAGGCACTACCTGGGGTGTTATCGCAGCTCAGCTGGGGCACAGCAGCTTGCTGGGGCACAGTAATGCAAAACACGCTTTTGAGCAGACGGGAATAATTTTATTTCAAGCAGCAAAGAACGTCCTTATAACCTGGAAGCAAGGAGGAACGAGGGTGTGTAAATATAGGCTGTGTTTGGAGCTGGCTGGCTTTGCGATGTTTGGTATTCCCAGCCAGTAATCACCCCCGTTCCTCGGCAGTAAGCACTGCAGCTAGGCTTTCCTAGAAGACAGTTTACTGTAACAAAACCTCTCACCCCTTAATTTTCTAGGTGCTTTGTGAAGGCAAAGCTGAGCTAAAAGGCTACGACAGCCATCTTCACCGGGGTGATACTTCAGCTTTCTGGCATTTAGGACCTAGGAAATAATCCCACAGGTATGTTGTAAATGTGTATAGCAATTAATAACTGCTGGTTGTATTTTACAAGCAGAACACTATTCTACAGTTGTAAAATGCCATTGCTATGACACTAACAGACAAGAATTTTACTTCTTGCTTATGTCGTAATTCCTCGAGATTAATTTTTTTTTTTAATGTAGCTCTTCCCCATGCAGGAAGTACGAGCCCAGAGTATGACTATGTATTTCAGATACAGTAACAGCAGAGGGAGCATGATTTACCATTTAATATAAGAAGTTTTTCATTCTAGGTCTAAGTCAGGAATCCAGTCTGTTTATAATTTCCATGCTGCACTTATTGGCAAACTTCCAAAGAAGCAAGCTGTAAACACAGATATTTTTCCTATGACTAGTTCTGATTTTTGTGTATGGTTTTCTATATGTCTGAGAAATAAGAATGTGCAGGGGGCACATTTTAGGGTGATCTTAGAATAGAGTCAACCCACACACCTCTGAGATAATGTCTGATTTTAATTAAATTGCTGATATTAAATGAAAGAAACAGTTCACTGGTGGTAGACCATTTCTATGTATTAAAAAAACCCCTTCTTTCTGAACAGGAAGATTTTTTTTTTTATGCTGTACAGCATATGGAAGGTTATGTTAAGTATCATGATGCACCAAAATTATGGGCTTTGCACAGTAAAATGCAATCTAAATAAGCTCTAATGAGAAAAGAACATGGGATCTTGCTGTCCTGTCTCTGCTGACAGTGTGGGATTTAACTCTAGTCTGTTTCATACGGGGTGAGTTTGCAGGTGCTGCAGAGTAAGATGCAGGCAGATTTGCTGTGCATGAATTTTCTTGCCTGCTGGAATGCAGAAGAAATATTCTTTGCTATGGTTTGAAAAAAAAACCACCCCAAAACCACAACTGTTGGGAGCTAATCAAGACGCTTATAGTTTCTAAGGTTATTATAACAAAGGATAACAAGCCATTCTGTATTAGCAGAGATGCATGCAGTTTTGCAGGGATGTACTGTATCTTTGTTAATGCGTGCAAACAAACAGCTTTTCCTCCTTTTCTTTTGGCTTGCCTTGAAAAATACAAGGCAATCATGTTGTATTATTTGCTAGGCAATTATAATTGTTTTCAGATGCACGTTAGACCCTTTGGCAAGAAAGGTAGTGATGCTGGCACAAGCTGTTTTGAGCTGTATATCCAATATGTACTGGGGGAAGGAGCTGGGAAGCAGTTATTTGATAATGGAGAGAACTCACTTACGAGGAGGCACCTAATATTGAAAGGGAGCAATGCCTTTGGTGTCTCCTTGGGCATGCCTGAGGGCTAGTGTTTGTGGCAAGGTGACTAACTGCATGCTGCACTGGCAGCCTTGTGAATCCTGACATGAGGCTGAAGATCTGACAGTGTGGTCTGGGTGGGGCACTGGTGGGCATTTAAATCCAAAATTCTTTTGGTAAGAGGAGTGGCTGAGCGTTGGAGCATCTGAGTTTATGTGGATAATGAGTTTTGACCCTGAATTACTTGTTTCAAAGTCTTCAGCCAATGGCGAAGGCTTGCTTTCTTAGGATAAAATTAATGTGTTTCCTTAGGATTTAATAATTGTAAAATAGTTTTATAGGTGCCATCATATGCAGGCATCTCCTGGGTAATGTCAGGCTAATCTGCAAGACATGAAATACTGCTATGAGCTGGATGATTTCTATAGCTGCTTTTCTTACAGAGGTATTGGAAGAAGCTCTTCCTTGGCAACATCCTGAAAATCTGTTTACAGTTCAGCCCATCTTTTTGGCTCTAAAGTATATAAGCAATCTCACAGGTTTTTTGGTAATGTTTTCCACTTAAATATAATTAGTTCTATCTGCAGCCATCAATACTGATAGCAAGTTGCTGCCTGCTTTTGAAGCTCCATTGTCTGAGGAGGGGAAAGGGGCTGAAGGCAGCTACGTGGTCATTTAGGTGCTTCTTGCCATGTCTGCAAGCAATAAAACAGTGGGTGGGAGGCACTGGCATCTGGAGAAGCCCCAAGCAAACCTGTCTCATCCAAGAGTCCAACCTCAAATTGCCATTTAGGGATGGACCATTCTTCAGAGCCTGGCATGTGGGCCTCAGCTGTGTGTGTGCCAGGAACCCATCTGTGGCCTGAGCTGCCTTTGAAGTAGTGATTTGCTTGTTGGATTTCACCATAGTATTTTAAATTTAGATACATGCAGAAGCCGTTATTTCAGCAGTGATTTTCCAGGTGTCTTTAATAGCATAGACAAGCACAGATGAGGAGACAGGCTGTGTAACCCTTATTTGTGTCATCAGCTTGTAAGCTGTTGCATTGTGATGGTTCAGAAAACGTATGTACCATTCAGAAAATGGTACATTATCAGATGTTGACAGTATCTGGTTATGATACTTTGTCTCACAAACGTTGTTCCCCTGTAGCAAAGTGTGGGTTGGTAAGAACGGAACCAAATCAGTGAACTGTAACCTACCTTAATTGCTTGGAAAAAATAACCATTGTTGTATGCTTTGGAAAAAAAACAAACAAAAACCAAAACCCAAACCAAAACACCACCACCCTGGAAGAAATAAACAGAAAACTAGATCAGTTAGGAGTAATTAAAATTTGCCTTGAAGGAAACACGGCTGCAGAGGGTGTCTGATGACCTAAGGTACTGACAGAGCAGTGATTTCTGCTGTGATTTGTGCTCAGAATTGGTAACATTCTGAAGCAGTGAGCTGGCAGTCTGCTGACCAGTGATGATAGGCAGGTTTTTGACTGTAATTCTGTATGGATCAATAAAGTAATGCACACTTGCTGCTCTCCTTTCACTTTTCATTGATCTGTTACACCTGTTCTAGCTGTTATCCGACTGCATTGCTATCTTGGAGTGGCTGTGAGGTAATGGCACCTGAAGTGGATTGGAGACTGAAACATGGACTTAGAAAGCAATGCCTTAACAGGGGCTGAAATTAACCCTGTGAAACCTTTTTCCCCCCACCTTGTCTTTGGGAAAAGAGGGGACTTAGAAAGCAATGCCTTAACAGGGGCTCAAATTAACCCTGTGAAACCTTTTTTCCCCCCACCTTGTCTTTGGGAAGAGAGATGACTTGGCTGGTAGCAGTTTGGAGCAGCTAAATCACCCCCCGGTTCCATACCTCTTCTGGAGAAGCCCGATAGCAAAGGAAGTCCATCACATCTATATGGGGGACTGGAACAGCGCTGTGGGGTTTTATTTCTGGAGTTTGTGTGGTCAAAAGGAGAGTTCCCAGTACAGCAAGAGTCACACTCTGGCCCGATTTGCCATAATAAGCACCAATAAAGGTCATGACTTCTTTAAATTACACAGACTGGTCTTATGTTGATTCCACGTAGTTTAATTCTTCTGCATGAGATGTCTGGGCAAATTTGGAGCCTGGATGAAGGACTTGCTTTTGTTAGTCCCTGTTTTTAGTTAGGCTGTCAGGCAACCAGAGGGTTTCTTCTGAGAACACCCTTATCTGGGAATGAAAACTGACATCACAAGCAAATGATCAGCCACCAGGCAACTGAAAATGCAAGTTGCACTATCCTGTGTGCTATTGCTATTACTTTTTTTAAAAAAAAAAAACAACTGAAGAATTCAAATCAAGTTCCCTTATACAGCATTGTGTCAGCTGAATGGCACTTGCTGAGGCTCTTTTGTGAGGTGGAGAGAGGAGTTCATGTTTTTAGGGCCTCTAGCTTCAGCACACACGTGTAGATGTGCTGCCTTCTGTCTAAAGGAAGGCTCTGTGAGGATCAGGTTCTTGTTCTGTGTGATACAAAGGAGACTGCAGCTTATCAGTTTGATCAGAAGTGGGAGCCCTAAAGGGACTGAATGAATAATAGGTATTTGTTTCCTCTTCTGACCTGAAAAAAGTCCTTCCTTTGGCTTCTGTGGGAGCTGGCTTGAATCCCCCGTGAGTGGAAATGAAATTCAGAGTGGGTGAGAAACTGATAATCTTGATAGATGTGCAAGTAATGTTTCCTTTATAAGTCAGGTCTGTGTTTTTGTGTCTTCTTGATTAAGAATTTTTAGAAAGACTGAATTCTTTATTAAATAACCTAACTTGTAGAGAGAAATTCCATCCTGGTCTATTTTGTCTAGAAGAACATTTTTCCTTCTGCCAGCACTCTCTGAAGTCTGACAGCACTCTTTCCAGTGGGAGCAATGATTCATTGAGGTCTTACACTCCTAAAGAAGTGTTTGTACAATATCCATTTGGTTGGCTGGCTTGGGCACATTTAAGTGAAGGAAAGGAGCAAAGCATTAAGTATCTCTTGCTGTATGCTGAAAAGTTCTAGCTCTATCAGTGTTGGTGGAACAGCTGCTTGCTACAGTGAGAACAGTCCCCCAAGGGTGGCAGTTGTGTAAGTGCTCATCTGTGAGGAACATGTGCCCTCAGGATCTCTGTGCTGATGTGGTTTGATGTAGCCTCATGAGCCTGGGCACTGTGCTTCTTCCCTGGGCTGTTTTAGGACCCTGGCTCAGGGCAGGGTCAACAGCCTGCTGGGACTTCTGTGTGGAGGGCTCTTCTAGCCCAAGGCTGAACTGAGCCCAGTGGCTCTGCTCAAACCTTCTCAGTCTGTTGCAGAGGAATGCCATTATTCTCACTTAAATAAAAGGAAATCTTAAATTCACCTGTCCAGTGTGATGTCTTCTCCATTTGAAGATGCTGTTGAAAAAAAGCCAGGAGCGTAGGCAGTATTTGTCCTACACAGGCTTCTTATCTGGCATTTCTATGCAACTAAGTTCTTCCATTCTCTGTTTGAATAAAACTCATTATAAACATTAGTCTCAAATTAGTTATTGAGGTAGGAGGTGTTAATGTCCCTTTTGGCTCTCTTACCCTCTTTGTTAGCAGATGGTTTAGCTGTGGTGGGGTGGGCATGTATACGTGTGTGTACGCACACATGCTCCTGCTTTCCAAGAGTGTGGTTATAACATCATGCTCAGCCTCCTGTAACTCCTTATTTGTGCTCTAACAGCTGTGAAAAGGACGTGTACAAACAATTGGAGAACCCTGCAGCCAGGTGTCCTGCTCGTTCAAGCAAGGGCTGATTTCTCTGTTTACTGAGGTTTCTGTTTATTGACTCAATAAGTCTGAGTAGGATGGCAAAGCTGTTAAAGATCTGCTCTGAAGACAAGCTGCTAGCTGGAGTAAGTGTTCTTCTTGGCAGATGTCCCCAGCCATGAGAGAACATGGTGGGGAGGTGCAGGGCGGAGAATGTAGTTGTGTTGTTTTAACTGGAAAATTCCCTTGTAATTGTTTTGCCAGGCTTTTGTGTAGTGCATCCAAAAAACCACTCTGTGAGACGACGACAGACTATGCAGATGGACAGCTGTGGCTTAATATAACCAAATTAATGCACTTCCCAAGTGCTCTAGACTTGCTGTGCTTTCTGCTACATCACTTATTGCGGCTTTTAGTGTTGGCAGACCTCTGCATGGTACTATTCATTCAGCTTTACTCAATTCTCAGATTACCCATGTACTAGTTCTGAACTAACTTAAACAAGCAGTTTGGGAATATGCGGTTTGCAGGGGGGGTGAGAAACAGAAGAGGGAAAGGAGAAGACTTATTATGATGCTGCAAGACATTTTCCTGCTTACTCACACTTGCAAACTGTTGTGGTAAATGTTTCTGATTCCTCATGTGGTCTTTTAAAGCAATCAAAAGAATAATTGTAAAACAATTGTCTTGCCGTGTGATAATACATAGCAGAGAATGGAGCTATTTCTGATGTTCTTGGTGATGGCAATGTCAGTGACAGTGTGTTTGCTGTTAAAGTCCCTGGCACTGGTGAGCTCAACTGAGGGTGAGGTTTAAAAAACCCAGCAGGAAAGGGTGGTATCTACCTTCCACCTTCTGTCTCGTGTTGTGCTGGCAGATATGTGGAGCCCAAGAGAACAATGAGCTAGAGTTGTTCCAGAATTACCTTATTTTAATACCTTCCTACTTGCTGCATTGATTGAAATTTTAGGATATTCCATGTGTTTTCCCTTCTCCCCTCTATCTCCCTTTCTCATCAGATGTGAGTGATTCCATTTTGCCCCAAACAGCTGCACTCTGTTTACTGCGTTTGGGGTAAGAGCAGGTTGCATGTGGTCATTTCCAGCCACCAATTTACCCAGTTACAATGGGTAGGGGAAAAAAAGAATAGTTGCATCTTGGATTGAAGTGAAGAGTTGTCATCTTCCTTTTGACACTGTCCCTGGGTGTTGTGAGAGCTCAGTGTTTGCTGAGTAGCAGTGCTCATACGTGAGGGCTGACGGCAGTGGCTGTTCCTGATCGGTGACCAGGCAGCTCTGGAGCGAGCTGTGGGCTCATCCAAGTGCAGTGCAGACTCATAAATTCCCTGGAAGAGGCAGGTCCTGGCCATCAGATCTACCAAGAGGATTACAGCTCCCAGGAGGCTCTTCTGTATGGACCTTGCATCCCTTAGTTCTCTTGTCTGCTCAGAGTGGCTTTCCCATCCATGGCCTCGGTGGGTTGTGCTCTTAGGAATAGTAATAGTCTGCTTTCAGTCTCCATCTCAAGGGGCTGGGTTTTGAAGCTGGCACAGCCTTTGAAATACAGAAGTCACAAGGGCTATGCCCAGAGGCCAATATGCTGAGATGATGCATCTTGAATAAGCAGAGTTGGAAATTTCACTTTCAACTTTTCCAGCCATGGCTGCCACTTCCATGCTACTAAATGCTATATTTCTCTATTTGGCTTTTGTGCTGTTTATCTTTCTAGACAGCTTTTACATAACTGAGTTCCACAGCATGTTACAAGTCTGACCATTTAATTTAGACTTTTATTATTATTGGACTACAGTACAACTCTGTATATTCTCCTGTTTTTCAGCCATAATTGTGCGTGATGTGGAAGGCATCGAGCTGCCCTTGCAGAAGATCTTGTTCTTGCTGTCACTGGACAAATACTGTTTCCATTGCTTCTGTCATGTGGGCTTTCCATGGACTGCAGTGTCTTCCATGTAAATCCCAAAAAGTATACCAGAGAGCATTTGAGACACTTAAGTAACAGCTCCTGTGGTTAAAGAGGACTTTTGTCAAGCTTTACTGATTAGAATTCAATCTTTCAAGGACAAATCACTTTCATGAGGGTGAAATGACTGAAGATGAAGATTAATGCCTTGGGGTGTTCTTTTGTCGAGCTTTACTGATTAGAATTCAGTCTTTCAAGGACATAAATCACTTTCATGAGGGTGAAATGACTGTGGATGAAGATTAATGCCTTGGTGTTATTTTTTTCTCACAAATAGTTAATAATTTTTACTCCTTCTCTTCCTTTTAATTTGTTACAGATTTGAGCTATCTGGGAAGATGAAGCCCTTGCTGCAGTTGATGTTCTTCACCTGTATTTTCTTGATCAGACACGCAGAAGCGGAGTTCTTCACCTCCATAGGTATGGAGAGAACTAATGTGTGATGATGTGACGTAGTTAATGCGATTCCCAAAACTGTTAAAAGTTTGCAGTTGAAGCATATGGCTTCTCTGGGGACTGTCAATAAAGTAAGACAGCTCCTATGTTATAGGAACTTACATTAAAAGGCTTAGTCCTGAATTTATAATTTATGAAAAGAATTTAAGTGATAAATACATGAAATATTTTCTTTCACAGAACCTGAAATCTTCTGTCTTCTCAGAAAGCTGGAGTTAGGTGTCAAAAGGAAAAATTAATATCCCCCTTATAGTCCTGAATTTATAATTTATGAAAAGAATTTAAGTGATAAATACATGAAATATTTTCTTTCACAGAACCTGAAATCTTCTGTCTTCTCAGAAAGCTGGAGTTAGGTGTCAGAAGGAAAAATTAATATCCCCCTTACGTTTTGTGTGTTTTGTAAGACCTGAGTAAATTCTGAAGAACTCACATTGTTATAAAATCTGAAAATAAATTTATTTTTATGACAACTTAATTCTTGTGATCTAATAGCTGTGATACAACAACGTATGATTGTGGTAGAACCTAAAAATAAGCACAAACTGAGCTGTCTCCTATGACTTGGTCTACTGTTTTCCTGTGGAATAGTGTGGGGAATTTACCCCCATAATAGAGACTGATTAACTCCAACTGGCTGTTCTCCAGAGTGTGCTCTGCGTGGAGCTATTTCTGAATGGCAGAGCTCAAAACTCCCCGTGGTTTGTTTTGCACCACTGTGTGGAACCACTCAGGCAGAGCAAGGCAGGGAGGTGTTTCACTGCCAATCCCCAGCACGTGCTCTGGAACTGGCTAAACTGCATTTTATTACATCCACCTTATTTGGTTCTCTTTTCCTAATTTAAGTAGCTTTTTGTACAAAGATACTGTAAAGGATCACCTTTTCTTTACACTTACCTATTCCTGAACCCTTCCTAACTCTGAAAATAGCCCGGCCTGCTGACTTCCATCTGCTTAATCATGCCTCATTAATAGCTACTTTGGAATGCTGAAACTAAAGCTGTGGCTGCATTTATAAATCTCATCCGGTCTTTCAGTGTTGGGTCTTTGAAGAGCAGGGTTTGTCATAGCAATTAGGATTGATGTGCTGGCAATTTCCACTAATGCTAATCAGCAGAGAGAGTGTGTGTGTGTCTATAAACATTAGTCTGAAATTCCTCTTACTTAACGTTAGGTTGTGTTTCCACAGTTACCCGTATTGAAAAGCTGTAATTTTAAGTGATGCCAGTAGTTAGGCTAAGAATTTATTAGTGTGACCTAATCTGAATCCATATGTAGAGCAGATGCTTTGGCAACTACTTGGATCTTTTGTTGCTTTGACCCAATAGCTGTATTAATGTCAAACCTTTCTTTTCATTGTCTTGCATACAATTGTAAAACTAAAAGTAATTTGGAGGCAGTGGAAGGGCCACAGCAAAGCTGCAGGAGCCATTGAAGTTGGCATTTTAAAAGCCCCTTGAAGCATTTGAATGCCAGACCTTCGTGTATGTGGTTTACAGGCATTAAAGTGCATACCCTTCATTTGTCTGTTCTTTGTGGTGGTTTTAATTGCCCCGGAGCATCTAAGGTCTGTCTCCTGTGCTGTTGGAGATGGTTACTCCTGTAGGTCTGATTAACATTTGCTCATACTCTGTTTTTTAGGTCAAATGACAGACCTGATTTATGCGGAGAAAGACTTGGTACAGTCTTTAAAGGAATATATCCGAGCTGAAGAGAACAAGCTCTCTCAGATTAAAAGGTAGGGGGAGAGGTCAGTGTGATGAAGGGTGACAAAATGGCTCATCTGTGTTCAGTGACACAACACCTCTTTGTCACCACTCTTTGCTGCTAGATCTTGTTAGTATTTCCTCAGCTGACCAGCAGTGCAGTCCAGGTGACTGCCAGCGCTGCCTCTGAAGTGTCAGAGGGTTTCCACTCTGAAAATCAAAGCTTATGGTCTAGTTTCCATAAAGCTAAAAAGTTCTTGGGGTTTTATTTATGCTTGGTTTTTTTACTAAGATAGATAAGTGACGCTCCCAGTGATTGTGTGCTCTATCTTGTTATTTTCTGAAGTGCAGCATGCTGAAAATTGATGGCCAAGACTCATTGCAAGCGAGATGCTTGCCCACCGTAGTAAGGTTTAAAATAGTAAGCAGGGAAGCAAATTTCTTTTAAAAGAAAGACTAATTAAAAAAATCAGTTGTACTTCACTTTATCCATGTGAAGCTGAAAGCTTGAAAGCTGGCTATGATGGCAAAAGCAGCAAGAAATTGATTCTAGCTGTGTAATTAGGATGATTTAAGAAGGAAGACGTGTTCATCAATTGGTCTGCGACTGAGGAGTACACTTCTCGTTCCAGCTGGGCTGAAAAAATGGATGTACTGACGAGCAAATCCACCTCTGATCCAGAGGGGTACCTGGCACATCCTGTCAATGCGTATAAGCTGGTGAAGCGTTTAAATACTGACTGGCTGGAATTGGAAAACCTGGTTCTTCAGGATACAACAAATGGTAAGGAGTTCCAGGGGAGAAGGTGTTGGTAGGAGGTGGCCCCACAACACAGTTGTTTATCCTCCCTGTGTTCTGGAAAGCTGCAAACTCAGCTGTGGTTAAAATATCACTGCCAAGTTTGTTTGAAACTTAAACTAATGACTGGCCTCTTGTTTATTGGTTACCCAAATGGGTGAAACTTGCTACTGAAACACATCTGTCAGGACTCAAAGATCTGCATTTTGTTCAGCTCGTGCTGCTTGGGGCAAAGAATGGGATATACTGAAGTGGTCAACTCTGGTGGCAACTGTTGGTTCGCACTTGGTCTTGAGCTTTATGTTCCTCTTACATAGAATCTCCTTTCCCAGTCTGCCACGTCTCTTGGCAGTCATTGGTTTTTGACTGTGTGGGTCAGTAGATGAGACTTAAAAATCAAAATATGAGAACCCATCCTGAATTGATGAAGGAATTTGTATCAGCCCCAGCATGTAACAGTTGGCAGGTGTCGTACTCAGTCTGTTGATAACAGGATAATGTACAATCCTTCTATATCAAATGTTTCCACTACTAATCTTTGCTTTCGCATCCTGTTGTCAAAGCCTGAATTTGCTTCCATAACTTGCTTTTTTAAAATGCAGGTTTATTTTTACTGGACTCCTTGAAAGTCAGGGAGAAGAGGCTATGTTTTTCAGGCAGAACATTGCATGTTTTCCGTTTCTACTCTGCAGATGCTAAAGTTTTGGTACTTAGAAGTTTTTTCCAGCCAAGATTTTTATTGCCTTTTGGAATAGTCATCTTAGATGGAAATAAAATATTTGATTCTATTGAGTACTTCTGTCAATAATTCTTTTTCTAAAGGCTTCCTTTTCCAGTTCTGCTTGTTGCATGATTAGAAATGGCTGGGTGGTTTTCCTTCAGTTGATTTCCCCCACTTCTGCCCAAACAACCTCCCGTACAGCCTTGATACATTTATGCAGTGCATTTAATTTTGTTTCTAAATGTTGCCTGGTTTTACCTGTCAGGTTTAAAGGCTTCTTACTGACTAAGGTCCTTCCCCTACTTAGGGGATCCTGGATGAGTGTCTCTGTCCCTTGAGCTGAGATTTGAAAAGCTCTCATGGCTTTACAGGTTGGAATTTACAGATTTTACAGAGTTTGAAATTGTCTTTGACTGTGATCCACGGTTTTCTCTGGATATTGCAAGAGAACTGACAAAAGCTATTCTGTTTTCGTGTTAGAAGGAGATATTACAGGAAAATTAAGATCGTTAGATTCACATTGTACTTCAGTGACTGTGTGGCACAAGAAAACAGGGGGGTTTGTTTATTTATCCTTTATTTCTTGCTCGTGAGCTGTATTTCTTAAAAGGAGACAGAAAATATTTTTGTAACTTTAGAGCCTAATAGGAGGCTTTAAACCTGGATTATTTGAATCTCAATTCCCAAAAGAAAGAAAATGTTTCATCTTCTGTGTTAATCTGGTACTGATATTTATGCAAACTCTGGAAGTAACATCTTTCCCTTTTACTCCCAAGGCTTTATTGCAAATCTGACAATTCAACGTCAGTTTTTCCCAACTGAAGAAGATGAGACAGGAGCTGCGAAGGCTCTGATGCGCCTGCAGGACACGTACAAACTGGATCCTGAAACTCTCTCTCGAGGAAACTTACCAGGTAAGTGCACACAGGCCTCCTCTACTTAAAAAGGAAGGAAGTGGTAATATCCTTAAACTCTCTCCAAAAGTCCTTTTTCAGGAGTGAGGAAGAACCACGGTGCTGAAAGTCCACGCCATTCAGATGCTTGAGGAAGTATCTACTTCAGCACATTGAGAGCAGCCTTGAGCTTAGTCCCACCTGAGCCAAGGTGCCGTGGTCTGCAGTGACCAGCTTGAGTAGCAGTTTTTAAAATTAGAATTACTTTGAAAGAAAATGTTGTTTTTTATAATAGCACTTTCTTGTGATGCTTACTGTGTAAGCAAATACTGTGAGTGCTACCTGTCCCCAATACCTTGTGAACCGAGGGAAGGAGCTTGCTCTGTAATTCATTCCTCTGATGGCTCTTACAAAGCTGGGCTCTGTTCTTGTTTGCTTATGGCTCTCCAGTGAGGCTCTGGTTGAATCACTTTGCTCCTGTTCTCTCTCTGAAATGGAGACTAACGGTTTTTGCCACAGAGAGATGTTTTGGGATGCTTCAGTCTTTTGGAAGCTGAGTCCTGATAAATCTTTGTTGCTGCTGCATATGAGAGACTTACAGAAAGAGGTTATGGTTGCTAGTAATGCACTATTTACGAACTGAATAGGCATCATTAGAGTGTGGGTAGATGAGTTGACAAAACAGGTTTAGTTATTATATGTAGGTTATTAACAGTGAACTTAAAATTAAGTTCTTATCTGTGCATCTGCTGAGCAAGAGCAACCGGAAATCAGTGCACAGCGGCAGTCAAATGGATACCCAGTTTGTCTAAATAACAATCAGCTTGCTTATGCACAAATACACATCTCCAAGAAAGAGTGAACAAGCTAATTCTGCATATAGTCAGGCTTCCCTGGTCATCTAACAGTCTGAACTTGGAGGTTCAGTAAAATCTGTTAAGCTATTAGTCTGCTCTGCCTACGACAGGAAACACAACAGCTTAACACTGTAATTTCTATGTTAAGCTTCTCTTGGTTTCCGAAGGAAATAACACCACAGAATGTAATCTTTAGAATGTAGTCTTTAGTTCTGAAGGTGATCAATTGAACACAGAACCTGAAATATTGTCAAAGTGTTGTCTTTTAGAAGCCTTTTTGGATGATAAAAGCATGTATTTGTAGATATTCCTCAATTCTGTGTATTTGAATTCAAAGGTGCTTCTGTGTGGATTGCTTAAAGTTGTCTTTTTGTTTTTAGGAACAAAATACAGATCCTCTTTGACAGTAGGCGACTGCTTTGGTATGGGGAAGACCGCTTACAACGATGGAGACTACTATCACACAGTACTCTGGATGGAACAAGCCTTAAAACAACATGATGAGGGGGAGGATACAACAGTCAGCAAAGTGGAGATCCTAGACTATCTCAGCTATGCTGTTTTCCAGTTTGGGGACTTACACAGAGCCATGGAGCTGACCAGGCGTCTGATATCCCTTGGTAAGAACAAAAAACCTGCTATTTGAGTGCTGGAGAGTGTTGCCAGCAACAGAGCCAAGAGCAGTCGTGGCCCATCCATATTGGTGAGCTGACTGGAAGGATAATCCTGCCAGATGACTTGTAATAAACATAAGTCCTGGAAAAAAAAACAACCCTACCAGTCTACTTATACATAAAGTATCTTTAACAAGCTGTCTTATAGCCCATGCTGTTATTATTCCAAGACCAAATGTGTGTCTTGCTGCACCCGTGTCATTTGCTTCAGTGTACTGAGATGTATTTGGTCCTGGTTAAAGCCTGGGTTGACTTAGACAGCGCTGGATCTTCTGTAAAGTCTGACTGACTACACGTATTCCCCTTCACTCCTCAGTACAAATACTCTTTGCCAGAATAACACTTTGCCTGAGATCTTAAAGTATTTATTTCTGAATATTCAGAACAGATTGAGTTTCTTCAACCTTCCTTTTATTTCTGGTCTGTTTCTAGCTTTCTCTTGAGTAAGCAAATAAGCATTGCTTCCTATACAGCTTTGCCTAGTTCCTGCATTGGAAAGGTTTATCCTCTCTAATTAACATCTAATGTGTTATGTATTTGTATGTTTTTTCAATCAGCTGTTCTTAATTTAGATGTTAGCTGCATCCTGGGAGTGGGTGAAGCCTTTCTGTTGAAAAATCTGTACCAGTCTAATTTCTGCAGACACAGGAATTCATAGATTAAAATTGACAAGGATATGAATATGTATTGGATCTAGCTCCCCGGCAATAATAGGGTTTAGCACTGATAGCAGAATGCAAATCCTTATCAGCACCAAACAGTGGAACAGACTTGGCAGTCCCTTCTGGGAGCAGCAGCTTCCTCTGCCCTGGGCTCAACTTCCTTATCTGGCCATTATTAGCCCATGCTCTAATGAGTGGTTACTTCTCTGGCCTTCTGGGTTAGTTAAATAAGATAAACACAATAACCTTGGGAGGGTCACACGGGAAAGAAGCTGTTCTAGGTGTCCAGAAACACTTTGTGGTGAACAAGGAATTGTTCCTTCTTAATTAAGGGAGGACCTTTACCATTTGCTTAGTGGTGCTAAAGATCGATTGATGATGTTACTAGATCTTGCACCCATTTTTAGAAAGGGTAGAAAGGAGGACCCTGGGAGCTACTGACTTGTCATCCTCACCTCTGTCTTGCACCCATTTTTAAAAAAGGTAGAAAGGAAGACTCTGGGAGCTACTGACTTGTTAGTCAGTAGCTCTAAGGCACATGGAGGACATGGAGGTGATTGGAGACAGCCAGCATGGCTTCACCAAGGGCAAGTCCTGCCTGACCATCCTGGTGGCCTTCTGTGATGGAATGACAAGGGAAGAGCTACAGATGTTGAGAGAAAAGGAGGGATGTGAAGACAAACTCCTACTTCTTTATTTCCCTGAAATACAAGTTTTATCATAGGTCCTTCCAGAAATGATTCTTTCACAGATTGTGCCTGTCTTCCCTCTGCAAAGACAGAAACTTCCCAGTGCTGGTTTTCGGTGCCAATGCCTTTGGTTACCTGATAATGCTTTAGGAAGGGGAGAATTATTGCTGTGTCTTGATACAAAGACTTGTTTGTATTAACAGTTCCTGAGATTGCCTAAATCACTGGTTCTGTCTGTCTTTCTCTCAATGCAGACAGCACTCATGAGAGAGCAGGCAGCAATCTGCGGTACTTTGAGAAGTTGCTGGAGAAGGAGAGAGAGGAGAAGGAGAAAGAGAGCTCAGTGAACAAGAGCATGAGGACGACAGAACCAGTGGTGCAAAGCGGTGCCTACGAGAGGCCTCTTGACTACTTGCCCGAGCGTGACATCTATGAGGCCCTTTGCAGAGGTGAAGGGGTAAAAATGGTAAGAGAAAGGCAAGACTTTCCCAACTCTGTTGCCTTTGCGTAAGGGTGATCGAGCTTGCTGGGAGGTGTTAAATTTTGCATTCTGTGAAGCTGTTTTTTTAAGAAAAAAATGATGCCTAGTTCTGCCCAGGCTGAGATTTCTACCGTATGTCTTGGCCTCTCTATCTTTAGCTATTAATCCCAGACAGAAAAAAGCTCTGAACTGTACCTCTTAAAGGTTGTTGAAAACTGATTCTCCTCAATCAGTTCAGTTGCTGGCTGTCCTGAGATACCAGGAGGCTTTTTCCACTGAGATCTGGTTGTGCTTTTCCTCCCCTTTTACATCTTAAAGGCTTGTCCCTCTGGGGTGACTGTAATGGAGACTGTAACCAGTCTCCGTTACCTCTCAACAAATGTGGCTTTAATTCTCAGTGCAGGGAAAGGAATCCATTTACTTCATCTGCATAGTCTTAATTATAAGAACCAGGATTTCTACAGCTGGCTGTTTGTGTAGTTATTTCCTTAATCTGTAACCTATTATAGTTTAACTCTGCTGAAGGTTAGTGTTTCAAATGTTGCTCAGTGGTATCTTGAGTGACATACGTTGGGTTTTTTATTTGCAGTAAATTGCAGAATCCCTCATGATTACCTCTTAAATCTGCCAGTCAGCTGATGACTTTTCCAGTGCGTGTGGAGAGAAGCCCACTTTGGTTTTTGTCTTGCCTGTTTTAAGTTCATGGAAAACGTTTGAGCAAACAATGTTTTGTTTGGCGTTTTGTTTCAGACACCTCGAAGACAGAAAAGGCTGTTTTGTAGGTACCATGATGGAAACAGAAACCCTCACCTGCTCATAGCTCCCTTTAAGGAAGAAGATGAATGGGATAGCCCTCATATTGTACGATACTATGATGTCATGTCTGATGAAGAAATTGAGAAGATTAAACAACTAGCTAAGCCAAGGGTAGGCTTCCCCTCTTCATTTCACTAATGACTGCTAATTCCATGCTTTAATCTCTGTTAGCAAAGACTTTGTAAGATCTGGTTTCATACTACAGATGATACACTGCAGCTGTGAGCCTAAGGGGAACAATTTTGAAATTCCCTGCTGATGTAGGACCATAGAGCCCAGGCTGCTCTGACCCTTGTTTTAAGCAATACCTCCACACAAAAAAGCAGTTCCCTAATGTAATTAGTAATGACCTCTTCTGATTTTTCTAGAGGTGGAAGTTCCTGTCTGTTTCCTTTCTGGTAAAAAAAAAAAATAAAATGTGGCAGTGTGAGATCAGTAGTAGATGCTACACCTTCATTTACTGTCAGGTCTGATAAGCATCTAAAACTAAACTCTTCCATTTTTATAGATGAATGGTTCATTCTAGCACTCTTCTAGCTACTAAAATTCCAGTCAAGAATTACTTTTCTGTATGTATTTCTAAATGTAAGCTTAAATAGTTAGAAACAGATTGAGAAACTGATGCTTCCTAAGACCATTAATAATTTGGAATGTTTGTGGAGCTGGACTTCTGTGACTACAAGCCAGCTATGGGAGTGTTGGCAGAACACTCCTGTCTCAGTGAGGACTCTCACCTCCATAAATGGAGGCTTTTTCCTATTACATCATACTGTAAAACTTCAAGAGCTTCAGATAAAATGGAAACATTCAAATAGAGCATATCACTTAACCTATTTTATCAAATTAAGCACATTCTAAATAAGACTTATTTTTTTTGTTTGGTTTTTCCCTTTTTGTTCAGAGTTTTATGGAAAGTCTTAAGTCTCACTCACTGAATTTTGTTTATATTACTAATGTCAGGGGAATTCTTCATATAAGCTATGTACTGTAGAACTGGGATCAGTCCATGTAAGAGTAGGCAAATACTGTAGTCTTAAGATTCAGATGAAAGTTTTCAACTAAAAAAAAAACCAACCCTACCAACCATTTTCTTATAATTTATTTTTTCCAAATCAGGCTATAGCTCAGCTGCAGGACTGGCTTTAAATTCTGCAGCACTACTGAAATAATGGAAAATGCAAGTCCTGTGATGAGATGGCCCTTAATAAATATATCTTAGTTTCGGTCAGGAAATTTCAGTTTGTAATCATGAGAGCTTTCAGACAGAACTCTGAAGTAGTGTGTTAGTTTTGGGCACAGAAAGATGAGCACTTTCTTTGTTCTAAAATGCATTTGTGAGAAATTTCTACTTTTGGGTCCAAGGACTTTAACATTATCTGCCATTTACACTTGCCAATATTTTTTTGGGTTTTTTTGTAGAGAAACAGCTACTCTCAAACACGTACAGATATGTTGTATTCAAGTTGGGTTTTCGTGCTTGTTTTGCAAAATGCAATTGCTTTTACTCCAGTTCCAAAAAGTAGTTCCAACTTTTCAGGCAATACATCAGAGCTGACTGGGAAGGGTCAAGAAAATTCTTAACTTTATTAGTGTGGATAGCACTGGGACAGGTCTCCAGGAAAACATGAGAACTTTATTCCCAAAATTCTGGGTTTTACCTGCAGTGCAGCCATCCCTGAAGAGGCGAAAATAGGGCATGGAGGGGGACACTTGAATATATTTGAACTTGGTGCTGTAGGTTTTCAGTAATACAGAATTTCAGAGGGAAAGCCAAGGGAGTGCATGCTAAACTAAACACAGATTCTAAGAGGAAGGCTGGATGAAGCTTCTGACTGATCCAGTCTGTTATGATTCTTCAAAGCCCAGAAAATGCCTTTTATAATGCTGCTTGAGGCCTCACATTTATCAGTGGAATGTACCAAGCAAGTTATAGATTGTATGTCTTGAATAAAGAAGTCTGCCTATCAGAAAGAGGAGATATGGAATAACACAAATGCAGTCAGGCTTATTTTAGTTCTGATTTATTTAGATCAAATGCTAGGGGCAGAAATCAAGCGAGCATATACAAGCTTGAAAATGGCAGCAGAATGACACGTTTGGGAAGCTAAATTATATCCCCAAAGCTATGCTTCGTTGTACAAGTGAAGAACAACATTCAGTCAGCCTGGCTCTTCTGTTATGATTTATACTGGAGAAATCTGGAATAAAATAACAATGAGTCAGAATTGCAGGAACAGCGATGCCAAGAACTCTTGTGTAGGGACAAGACAGCTGACATGGATTGTGAACCTGGCTGGAGACTTACTTGAGGAAAAATGAGAGAAATAATGACTGCATACTCCGAAGAAAATGCAAATAGAAAGGCTTTCTGTGACCTATAATTAAGTGGAAGGAAGGAGACATGATTTAAAGTGTCTGTGGTTTGCAGGAGTTAAATTTAAATGTGGTCTGAGTTTACGGTCAAAGAAAGGAGTGTCCCAGTTCTTGTTCTCAGCTGCAAGTATAAAACCAAAGGGACCTGTTGTGTGTTGTTAACTGTACTCTGTTGCTTTGGCACCACAGCAAATCTGACTGGTTTTGCCAAATTCCACATTTTCCCTACAGATACGGTGGTGGAGCCTAACGGTGATGATGCATTACTCACTGTAAAATGTATAGTGAGGGTTACCTTCAGAATGGAGTAACATTATCTCAAACTATCCCTGTGAATTAGAAGTTCTGAGCCATCTTCCAACTGGAAAATCGGAGCTCTGTGATGTTGAGAGTTGCCCTCAGGAGTTTTCTACCATTGTGGATTTGCCTGCCCCATAATTTCATAATTTGTAACTCATTCTGTAAATGTTCTTACTTGTTGTTTTTCATCTAAGAATGAGGTTGGGTTTTTTACAGTCCACATAAGGAGCAGGCTGATTAAATTTATGGAGTATCCAGTGATTCTCTCTTTGCCAAGAACTTGTGCTTCATATGTTGTTAACTTTTGTTATTGTTCCCTCTTGCTGATATTGACTCCAGCTGTTTAAAAAAATACCTTCAAAACCTGTTCAGTCCTTCTGGATTTAATGAATATCATGGCTTGTGCAGTCAGTCAAATTCTTTTTCCAGGATCAAATGCAGGTGATGGATTGCACCTGTGTTTCTGCACTACTGTTTTAGCATGAAATCAGAACAAAGTCGAGATTGGAGCTATAACTTTCGTCCAGTGATATATTGAAGTTGGAAAAATCAGGTGTTGATTTTGGTTACGATGAGAGAAATTTTTTTCTAACCTATAGCTGATGTGTTTTTTTCCCCCTTGGGATTTTTTTTTTTTGATACAGCTGGCACGAGCCACAGTACGAGATCCCAAAACCGGTGTCCTTACAGTTGCCAGCTACAGGGTATCAAAAAGGTAAGCACAGAGGAGAGTTTAGCTTTAAGGTTTTTGTGCTTAACACCTGGAAAATTGAACTGCTTTGCGTGTAGCAAAAGCTTGCACAACAAATGCATGGTAAACGGCTCTTTTAGCCATCTGACAGAGGGCAGGAGACTCCTTCTGTCTTGGGAAATGGGTCATTGTGGCTGGTATTCCAAAATAACCATGTTTCAATCCTTCCCTTATTCCAGCTCATGGTTGGAGGAAGATGATGATCCTGTTGTGGCGAAGGTGAATCAACGAATGCAGCAGATCACGGGGTTAACAGTGAAAACAGCCGAACTGTTGCAGGTTGGTACATCTGTCTGGTCAGGTTGCTTCCTTGGAAAATTAGCTGCTGGTCGGGGTGGTCTGATGTTTCTGCAGATGTAAAGTAAGCAAAGTGGTGCTTTTCAGCCTTCTGTGTTCCTGGATAGATAGACATATGTATGTAACAAAACATACATGTGTGACACAGTCTAATTCTAGGCTGTGGATCTCCTAGTTTGGCCACACGTGCTACAGAAATACACACACTTGGCTTCCTCCTCTTCAGAGGAGGTAAAACTTGCTGCTAATTCATGTTAAACAGGCTCTTGTAGTGATAAGAGGAGTGCTGCCATTGAAATGTGTCTGGTACTGAGAAATGCCCTCAGTGAAACCCTTACACTAGGAAAGGGAAAGAGCACTTAAGTTGTTTCTCATCCACATATCTCATTTCTGGCAATCTAAAGAGAGATTTAATGTGCTGTAGATAACAATCTTGCCGCAAAGTGCTGTTTCTCAAAGCATGTTTTGAGTCTCTGAGGGCAAAAGTTATCTTCTGCAGAAGTCACCTGCAGTTCAGTGGATGTTTGTTTCCTCCTTCCATGCTGTAGGTTGCCAACTATGGGATGGGAGGACAGTATGAGCCACACTTTGATTTTTCTAGGGTAAGTTCACACTTCTGATTATTTCTTGGTGGGGAGAGGGGAACAGGTTGTTTTGCGAGAAAACTGTTGAAACTGCTTTCTTTTAAAACACTTGATGTATAGCCCTGTTGCATGGATGGATTGTGACTTTGGAAAAGCCTTTGCACTGCCCTCTCTGATGCTAGAAGTTCAAGAGAACAGTAAACAAATCTGACTGCCTGCTTATCTTTGTCACCTTGGTTCCTTGCACAGTATAGAGACACTGAAAGATACTCATGCAGCACTTGAATATGCTCTTTCCATTACTTTATTAGCAAACTGAAGTCTGCAAGCCCTTGGTTGTGACTCTCTGTTGTTCCATTTGGCTTCTGAATTCAGCACTTTGCGGGAGCTGGCTGAGCAGATGTCCCTTTGCTTCCTTCCAAAAAAAGTGGCCATTATGGAAATTTTTATGGTTCCTACAGCCCTTCTGGCAAAGCCCTTGGCGTGGGGGCAGCTGTAGGGTGTGAGGAATGTTTGTTGGGTCTGTATTGAGGAGGGCAGTGCTACAGGGAGCAGAACCTGCAGCTGGTGGGTGCTGGGTCCCCACGAGGCACTAGAGGGCTCTACCCGGCAGAAAACAGCTCTGGTTTGCTGCAAATGGGAAGAAAAGAGGGACAGGTTCTTAATTGTTACCATAAGACAGTTTAGGAACATGCTAATCATACTAAAGAGCTATGGTGACCGGTAATTTCAACTGTAAAATCCATCTGATGCCTTGGTTTCCAGTAGAAACTAAATTCAGGCTGTAGCAGTGGTTTTACCTGGTAGAAGGGGTTGCTGTAGCCAGAGCACAACCCAATTACTGAGTGTGGAATTGAAGCCACTCTACTTAGCACTGTTTCAAAAAAATAAAAAAAAAATCCTGTACTTCAGCAGTGTGAAACCTCACATTCATTAGCTTTGGCCTGGTGAGAGAATTTTCCTGTTAACTTTAAGGCTGCTTCGTTTCCTGAGTCAAGCAGATGCTCTTAAATTCTCTTCGAAGCCTTTGAACTCCAGGACCTCAGCCATCAAATTGGCCGGGGTGGACTTTGCTTTTGGATAAGGCAGCTGGGGCAGAGCTCCACGTGGAACGTAGCCCTGGCTGTGGTCCTCAGCTGAGACAAGGCAATGGCAGAATGTGCCGTGGGTCTGGCCTGGTCCTGCAGGCTCTCTGTGCAGCACAGACCTCAGGATTGAAATACTGTTGGAGTTCAGAAATGCACGGCTGGACCTGGGTTTGGCAGCAGTGGCAGAACCCAGGGAATGCCCTCTATCTCAGTGCTTTTATGTTGGCTCTTTTAGATTGAATTTGCATATGCAGATGTAAGAGTCTTTTTTTTTTTTTTTTTTTTTTTCCATGAACCCACTTGAGGAAAGACCTTTTATTTCTTGAAATATACTTCAAGTATATTGTACTATAACATCTCAGATGGTGTCAGTGGTTTTCCTTGTTGTTTGTTTTCTCTAATACTGATTTCTTCTTTTCTTTAAATGTTAAAAATTAATGGGTTTGTGTACAGGAGTGCACCTTAATGTCTCCTGGCTGAAATTACTTCCTGACTATCAGCAATGTAAATAAACTTTTAATTGCATTTTTTTGAAGGGAGGAGAGACACACTGGTATTCTAGATGTTCTTTCTGCTTCTAAACTGACACCAATGCGATCTCATACTTCAACAAATGAAACTCAAAAATGTTTCCTACAGAATAAAGGCAGCTTGATGTTTTTGATGTGGTCCTTAGTCCTAAAAAGGCAACCACCTGAAAATTCATTAATGCTGTTCTGCAATATTCCTTTCTCATGACAGAATTTCTTTGAAACACTACTACATTTTTGAGAATCTAGTGTGTTATCTAAAACCCACGGAAGATGAGTTTTTTCGTATTCATCTCAGTTGGTGACTTTGGATCAGTGTTGAGTACAGTAATGGCCTGTTGTTAACTTTGCTTGGATAAATCTGTGTCACAGGCCCTGAGAACATCACTTCTACTCTGCCCTAAGAATTGCTTTGGTGCTACTTCTCCTTACAGCATCCGAGAGCTACGTGCATGCAGTTATGGCTGCAATTTGTAATGGCTTCAGCCGTGTCAATTATCCCCTTTCTATCCCGACTCTTTAAACTGGGCTTGAGGATCTCTCTGCAGAGCTACACGTGTGTCACTCTAGTGCGAGCCCGTGTGGAATCTGGGTTAAAGTTGTTGTCTGTTACAGCGACCCTTTGACAGCACACTCAAATCGGAAGGAAATAGGCTAGCGACGTTTCTTAACTATGTAAGTACCTCTGTTTGTCTGCTGTCTGTGAGCTTGAAGTTTGCAGTTACTCTCATTTAATTTTATAGAAAGATGAGCCAGATGCTTTCAAGCGGTTAGGGACTGGAAATCGTGTGGCCACTTTTTTAAACTATGTAAGTATGATGATCCTTGCATTGAGTGTAACTTTAGCAGCATCTTGTTTACAGCTTGTGCAGTTGGTTATTTGTTAGAGATTCCCTGGCATCTGGAAGTAGGGATTTCATTATTTGTGCAGCATCAGGTGCTGTCCCATCTGAGTTGATAGAATTCTGGTGGTGTTTAACCTCAGAGCAGAAAATTTGAATATCGGGCCCAGCTTCCCCTTTTGGCCGCTCTACTGTGAAATCTTTCACTTTGTTGAATTCCTGTTGGTGGGAGAGGAGAATTTGGCTTATTTCTCAAAGATGAGTTCCCAGGGATTCCTGATGTGCTGCACTGTTTGAGAACCTGACTATGGGCTTTTTATTGTGAGACAGTCACGTTCTTCCACCCTGGTTTGACAGCACTTGATGCTGTGGTCTGTCAGCCTCCATTTTCAGCTGTTTGTCAAGGCTGGAGAGACTCTGGCATCGCTGTCGCTTCAGCGAATGGAGGAGACATAGCTAATAAACTCGGTGCAACTGGGTTACAAATGCAGTATTAAAAAGATTCATTAATTGCATGGATTCATTATACAGCCTACAGACCATGTACACTGGAATCATAAGCAGAATTGCCACTGATACTGGCAGCCGAACGTTTTCACGGTGGTCTTCCCAAAACGTTTTATCTATCAAACTATACCTACTATATCAGTAATTAGATTGCCTAATCTATTATATCTAACTTCTGAGTGATACATCTTCAGACTTTAAAATTCTCTGATAAAATATTTATGGGTGAGCTGGCATTTTGAGTGTGAAATGCAGCTCAAAACAGAACCAGAAATGCTTTCAACTTGATATGGCGGGGGAGAAGATAATCTCCGAAACTGGAATTGGAATAAGATAAGTAGCTGTGAAATAGTCTGCTGCTGAAAGGTTTTAATTTTAAATTATCTCTGTCTGGATTTTGTATGCTTCTCAGACTTTTGAGCAAAACTTGATTTAGAGTGATATTTTCTGCCAGTTGTACATGGTCAAAGGTGATTTACCCTTGCGTGTCCCGTGTAGAACGTATCATACACGTACCAACACCCTTACTAAAAGAGTGGTTGTGTTGCTAAGACGTAGGTATTAACTTGCAAAGTCACATGCACGTGCTTTCTAGTTGGAAGGGGCAAAAACCTGCGCACCTGTGGCATCTTATGCCCTTTTATTGTAGGTACCGAGCAGGAGGACACCAGAGGGGTAATAACATCCGCTTTAAACAGAAATCCAAGTTACAATAGAGAATGTGGGGACTTGGGGAGTGGATTTATAGTAGTTCTGCTATTTAAATTTGGTGGGAGCTGGACCTGACCCATTTGTTTCTTTTAATTAGAATCTGATCAAAACCTCACCGGAATCAGTGGAAAGATTGCTGTTTTTAATGGGAGTGTTTCCAGGATCTTTGGGTTTTGCATCAAGTCTAGAATTCAGAGTGAATCCATCATTACTGATGAATTCAATAGGGTTAAATTCATTCCAGTGTAGAAGGGCAAAGCATAAAGATTCATGCTTTTCTTTAGAGTCCCGTGGCTGTTTGTATTGCAGCTTGAGATGCGTAAAGCCCTTGAAGTGGTGTAACGTCACTGGGGAACAGCGCAGAAACAGGGCAGAGAGTGAGGTTTTCTCTTCTTGTAGAGTTTTTGAAGTGGTTGACCAAGATGCATAAACCAAATTGTGTTCCAAAGACATGGTTTCAATTTATGAGGAAACCTGTGGTTTAACAGACACTTGTTTTCCTAATTGGGTCATAAAGTGGAATGAAATTCTTGAAGCTGCCTTATTCAAGTCCTCTCCCTTGTTCTATGGTACGAGCTTATTAATGCTGCAGGTCCACAGCTCCCTATGGCTGATTGTTCAGCACTTCATCCAGATATATATCATCTGTTGTGCAAACAAAAGCCCTCAGCTGAAATAAAAGCCTTCGATAGCAGGTACTGTGACCTGTGCAGTTCGTGCTGCTTGAGGTGCCTCCCTTCCTCATCAGGCCCTCTTGTAGAGGTGCAAGTAGAAATCTCTCTCTAGTGGGGGCTTGGGGCACTTTATGGGACTGAATGTACAAAAACCATTGTAAATAGACAGTTTGTGGACTTTTTTTTTTTTCTCAGATGAGTGATGTAGAAGCTGGAGGAGCTACAGTTTTCCCCGATTTTGGGGCAGCAATATGGCCCAAGAAGGTAAAGTCTACTCATCTCTACTCTGGACGTGGCTGAATTAATAAAGTGGGACTAAAGGGGTTTTTTTATGTGCTATGAGTGGTGGCCTATGTTAAAGTGTTCCATAAAAGCCTGTAGCTGAATTCATAGGCACTTCCTCCCCACCGCCCTTACTGTAATGTGAGTAATTATATTGACTAATTTCTGACTAATCAAGATCTGATTTCACTTTTCAGGGAACAGCAGTGTTTTGGTACAACCTCTTCAGAAGTGGCGAGGGTGATTATAGAACGAGGCACGCAGCTTGCCCAGTACTAGTAGGGTGTAAATGGGGTAAGTAATGCTCCTTTAGGAACAAAACCTGAAGGAAAAGTTATGTGTATGCAAAGCTGATAATATACTGAACCCTTAAAATGGCATTTAATAACCTCAGTGTTGCCCGTTTAATTATTGGAGTCATTTGGTGGTAATGAAAACTTCCACCATCAGTATCGTGTAGTATTAAGCAGCTACTTTGTTCAGCTGTAACTTTTTTAATGAATTTTTGTGACAATGACATCACAAAGTGTGTAAGAATGTCACTGGGCTTGAGCAGTGTGTCAGGATCAGGATGACTTGAATTCTCATTTGACTAGAATCGGGTCTGTTCCTACAAAGCCTTGTGCGTGGTTTTAACTGTAAAAGGAGGAGAGCTCCCTGTGAAGTAAATGTGTCTGGAGATTGGGAATTTCTGCCAACTGCTGAAAGCTTCTCAAGCTTCATGTCATCCACTCCTCTGCCCACCTCCCCCAGCCTCCAAGGTATTCCCCTGCAGTGCCAAAGCTAGAAATGATACCAGACCCAGAATACGCCGCTCTGTTACCGTTGGTCCCAGAATTGTGCAATTGGAAAGATCCTTTTTTCCCCAATCTTTTGAATCTTCCTGTGTCTTTCCTGTTGGATGAGTAGAGGAGGATAAGTGGGGATCCTTAGACTGAGAGATGAGATTTGACGTGAAGTACCGATCTGTGTTGTGGTGATACACGCACTGGGTATGTGGTAGTAACTAATTTCATGTCCTTGTTCCACAGTTTCAAACAAATGGTTTCATGAAAGAGGAAACGAGTTCTTAAGACCTTGTGGGAGAACAGAGGTTGACTGAAACCCGACCTGCAAGCTTTTGCTTCTCTGTCTCCTTTTCTACAGATGGTTCTTCCTGTTCATTTCTAAGAAATGATCCATCTTTCTCTCCAAGAGTCCTGGCACTTTACCCAAAAAAAGGATGACAAAATATGTAACACCTGTAAAAGAAAGTAAATGGCATTATACACATATTTGTGTTTCAGTTGATGTTATTTCCATGTCCCCCCCACCCCACCATCATCATTTCACCTGCCTCCCCCCCTCCCAGCTTTCTCTGTACTGGTGGTGCAAACAGTGCTGTGGGCGATTCGGTGTGTTTGGGTGCCTGGTCTTGTGCCTTTCGTACCTCAGAAGATTTAGATGTTAAATATTTCTTTGAACCAAAGGAATTTTTTTTTAAAAGTTTTGTGTACATGTTGATTTTATTGTATTTCTATGGACCACAAGTTTTGAAACAAAAATAAATGTTCTTTCTGTAAAGTGAATCTCTACTTTGTGTCCTTAATAGGTCTATCAGTGCTTGGGTTTTGGGAGTAACAAGCCTTTGCTTTCCCCTTCATTGAGGGCATGTTGCTTTGTTGCTCTTTTTCTGTAGAAAACACATGGTTTTGGACAGGGTTTTATTTAAGGGTCCATCATGTGACAGAACTGTTGCACCTTCTACTGAAGCTGGAAAGTTTAATTTGTGTATTGAAGCTGTAATGTATTACACTTATGAAAAGCCTTTCCCAGGGGTACTTCCTATTTTTGATGCAAGTCATTACAAAAATCTGAAGCCTTTTGAGACTTTCAACAGTCTTGACAATTGTTGATTCTAAAAGTAGGCATCTCTGCTGAAACACTGCATTTTTACCACAGGAACAGCTGGTCTGGCAGCACTCGGCACCTTCTGAAGTCAGCAGGATGGCTTGCAAGCAAATCTTAATCTGCTTTTGTAGACTGGAGCAGGGGTTTGTCTTGCCCTTCAGGCAGGCTGGGTAGAGTCATCCCCTTTGGGCACTGGGATTCAGATTCTCCTTTGCCCTTTTGCTTCATTAGTGTGTGTGTAACAGCCACAAGCCATTGCGTGTAGGGCAGTGTTGTCAGTGAGTGAAAGGAAATCCCATTCCTGAGTGACAATTCCAAAGAAATGACAATAATAATAATAAAAAATAGGCCAAGTTATGGAGAAATAGGCAAATGCAGAACCATCCTGTTAGTACCAGAGTGTTGTGTTGATGGGACACTGTGCAGGGGGGATTGACTTCAGGCCATTTCTGGTGTGAGCAGGACTTTGTGGGAATATTGAGTGGCTGCAGGTGACCTTAAAGCAGAAAATGGTAATGGTTTTACGACCATAAATTATTGCTTAAAGACTAGGTTGGGCAATTGTTAATATACAAACATGAAACTGGCTTGAGAAAGTGAGAGAAACTTCAATTACACCGAAACATCCAGTTGCAGTCACCATTGTCCTATGACAAACTCTGGTTTCCTTTGTACTTCTCCATTGCCCTGTGTTGTGCAAAGGCTGGTGAGATTGAGTGAGGTAATGCTTAAAGCAGCTGTCAGGCAGGAGAAGTGGTGTATCTGCTGTCCTTCTAGGAAGGGTTTACAGAAGAAAAGGGGTTTATGTGTTGCTATAACAGGTGTCATCCATTTAGTGTATCAGTAATAAAGCAATGGGACTCAGCAATATATGGTCATCTGCTCCTGAATTTTACATGTGAGGAATTTATGAACTTAGTGGCTATTGCTTGGTATAGTTATTTAGGTGCAGCGTGTAACTACGTGTGTTCACTTTATTTAATTTTTCTGTTAAACCACTGGTTGAAGAGAGAGGTCTTGGATTGCCCTGGACAGAGACTTGTTGAGCTCCGGTTGTTAATGATACTGAAATGAGAGGAGAATCTAGCCTTGTAAATAAAAGGTTATAGCAGGTAGCTGTAGGAATTGCAGTGTTTTTTCCTCAAAGCTTTAATGGCCCAGCACAGCAGAGCTCAATAGCTGCTCTCCAGTCTCACAGGGCTCCTTCTCTTGCCATGAATGTTGTGGTTGTTGGCTGCCCCTTCAGAATATTTCATTGTTGACCTCTAGTTTTCTTAGTAAAATCTCTCAGCGCAAAATAAACTTGGGAAATAAGGAGCTTTGCTTTAAAACAAAGCATTCGACGGATGACAGCCTCGCAGATGTGAAGAAGAACTGATGATGAGCCAAAGCCACAGTCTCGGGTTGGAACACTTTGGATTTTGGGGGGGGAGGAGGAGGAATCTACTTAGACTTTCTGTCAACGTGGTATGTTGACAGATAAAGTTCACATCAGGACTCTGGCCAAAAATCTGCATATCCCACTTCTGAACTAGCGTGGTTGGCTGGGAAATAGCATTGTTAACTGTGTTATACTGAACTTTTAAAGCTAATTTTACTTGCTTGTTTTCTATGGGAAAAATCTCTTCTCCTGTTCTTTATCTTCCACCGTGCTTCGGTCTGGCCCTGAAGCAGGACGTGGTGAGTGTGGATGCAGAACGGCTGGATTCTGGATTCACAGCAGATCCTGTGGGCAGGATTTGCTCACTGCTAAGCTGTTCTGAAGAATAATAGCTATTTTCTCTCTGCTGTGGGCAGGGTTTGCTCACTGCTAAGCTGTTCTGAAGAATAATAGCTATTTTGGAGCAAAATTTGTGGGCGTTCGGTAACCTCCCAGGCATGTTTGTGTAGCCTGGCGGATTATATTCCCTACTCTGTCTCCTATCATTTTAGAAGATGAACAGAATATGGCAATTAGCCTAAAGGATAGGCTAATTGCTAATAAACTATCCCTTAGCCTAAGGGATAGTTTCTGACCTAAAAGAGAGGAGATTCATATGCAGGAACAAATAAGCCTTCTTCAGTCTAGGCACAGGGAGCTTCTGCTGGTGTGGCACTGGTACGGTAAGTATTTAAGTCTTGTTTAGACAGAAATGGTTTTTCTCCTGCTATATTGCTGATTCTTCTTTATTTCACAGGGCTTAAGTACCTAATGCAGATATTTATATGCGCTACAAGGCCAAAATTTGTGGGCGTTCGGTAACCTCCCAGGCATGTTCGTGTAGCCTGGCGGATTATATTCCCTACTCTGTCTCCTATCATTTTAGAAGATGAACAGAATATGGCAATTAGCCTAAAGGATAGGCTAATTGCTAATAAACTATCCCTTAGCCTAAGGGATAGTTTCTGACCTAAAAGAGAGGAGATTCATAAGCAGGAGCAAATAAGCCTTCTTCAGTCTAGGCACAGGGAGCTTCTGCTGGTGTGGCACTGGTACGGTAAGTATTTAAGTCTTGTTTAGACAGAAATGGTTTTTCTCCTGCTATATTGCTGATTCTTCTTTATTTCACAGGGCTTAAGTACCTAATGCAGATATTTATATGCGCTACAAGGACTTACTGTGGACTTTGAAGAGCTTTGGGACCTTTTAAAGAGATACTCAAGTTATGTCTATTAGCATTTTCCTGCTGATGAGGTCTTTGAGGCGCTGCTCCACTTACCAGGTGCTGATCAGAGCAGAGACTGGGTGAACCCTCATGGGAAGATGGTCTCTTATCGTGGCTTGTGCAGTCATAAGAAGAACCACCACCCCCAGCCCATGCCAGTAATTCACATCCAGTTAAAGCATGTGGTTTCTTAACCCCTGCCTTGAATGCTACCCTGTGGCCACCCTCTGTGTCACTGAGCAGATATGCAGCCCTCCAGCTGGGTTAGGAAACCACCTAAAGCAGTAACATTCCGCTGTGTAGGCTCAGCCAAGAACTTATCTTCTTTTCTATCTTAGAATCTACTTCTCTTTCCCGTTACAGTGGAAAAAACATTGGAAAAATCATCTATCTAATCACCTTGGAGAGGAAAACTGGCATCTACACTAAGATATGCAGTGTCAGTGGAGAAGGGGTTTGGGTGTGATGGACAAGGGAGGCTGTCCAAGCTGTGGCAGAGAGAAATAAGGGTGTTCTGCTGGGAGGGGACCGCGGTTATAGTGTACGATAGAGATGTAAAATTATACAGGACCAATGGCCCCGTGTGTGGTTGCTGATCTTTTAGAGCCTCGAGGCACTTCATCATTCCTTCTAGCTGCAGAGAATGTTACTGTTGGTGGCTGCATCTGCAAAGGTCATGGAAGATTGGATGTGTCACGTTGCACATCCAGAGCACCAGAAAACAGACCTCACGGTACCTCATGAATTCTCTGAATCTCCTCTGCTTGTCTGGGCTGGGGTGGAGTGACTCACCTCGCTGTGATCTCCTGAGGTTCTGCAATCCTCTACCCACCTCCAGTCCTACAGCAGGACAGAGCCTCCAAGTGACTCAACACCTGGAAGAGGAGCTGGAGCAGTGGTTGGTCCTGGCACTTACCTCATCTTCTGGAGAAGATGAGTTGGACTGGTGGGACTGCTTCTTCCTTTGGCCATGGAGCACCTCTAGGGGATTTTGGTTGAGTGTGGCACCACACTCAGCTGGTGAGCATCACCCACCTGCAGCCCCGGTGCCCAACAGCCCCCAAGGCATCAGTGAGCCCTCTGCAGAGCCTGTGGCCATGGCTGTTGCACCTCAAGTGTGCCAGCAGTGAGATCTCTCCCAGGTCCTCCTGCAATACAGTGTTTTTGCTTGGTTCTGCATTGATTTCCTCCTCTTTAATCTTCTTGAATTGAAGGCAAACAAACAACGCGTTTCTGACTCAGTGAGGTATATGAATTTGTAAGCCCTAATACCACATGTGCCCTCAGGCTGTCACTTTGCAAGAAGTGTTAATTTATTCATGCCCTCTGGTCTCGCTTTGCCTCCACACATGTGTTTTGGTGGGAGAAATACTGCAGAAGGTGTGAGGTGTCTGTCTGCAGGAGGGATGGAGTGACGGACGTGGTTATCCCTTGCCTTTGCATCTGACACATGGAGGTGTCCCTTCTCTGTGCAGATCTTTCATCTGCCTCCAGCCCAGCTTCCCCCAGTTCCTCTACCACCCGGGGACACGTGTGCTTTCTCTGGCCGAGCTGGTCACAGTTGGATCCCACCTTCTCTCCCCAGCTCAGTCTCTCATGCAGGCTGCTGCGGGTTGGGAGGGAGGGAGGGAGGGAGCTGTTTCCAATTAGCAGGAAAAGCAGCTGAGGTCATCGAGCTCTTATTCATGTAGTTTTCCCCTTGCCAAAATGATGGCAATCTCTTAGGGAGCCCATCAACCCAGCCGAGGCTCTGCTCACTGACCAACGTCCCCCATGAACTCTGCTTGATCCACACCATCTCCTACACGGCTGGATCTGCTAATGCCCTGGTGGTGGGGAGCACCCTGGCTTGTGCCCATGGCAGGGGGACAGGTAGGGGCAGCCTCTTCCAGGGCTCTGACATCCTCAAAGTAAAGAAGTTTTTCCTCATGTTGAAGTGGAATTTCCCGTGTCCCAGTTTGGGCCTGGTCCCATGTCCCAGTTTGTGCCCATTGCCCCTTCTTTCACCAGGCTCCACTGAGA